ACTCACAGAGCACATTCCGTTATATATACTAGCCACATACATAAAAGAAACTGCATTGTCAAAATATTATCCCAGTTGATAAGTACGATAACAACGTCAAAGGTACATATAAACTTTAATGGAGGATCATGAGACCATAACAAGTCGGGAGAATGTCAATTGAAAAGTCAGTCACAATGACGTCACGAGTCCACAAGCGGGACAGGAATCAAATGACCATGTCAAAAGCTCAATAACGGGTATGTCCACCATCGGCATTGAGAACAGCAGTGCATCGACGACGCATAGAGCCTATCAAACGTGCAAGGAAGGCTTGTGGGATGTCACGCCAGATTCTCTCAAGTTCTGTTGCAAGGTCAAGGACGTTATCTGGCGGATGAGGAAGACAGCGTAGACGTCGATATATCTCGTCCCAAACATGCTCTATCGGGGAGAGATCCGGTGAATTTGCAGGCCAAGGCAGTAAGTCAACGTTGTGGTGTTGCAAGAAATCCATAGCAACCCTTGCCGTATGAGGGCGGGCATTGTCCTGTTGGAATGTTAACCCAGGGCCATGACGTTGCAGAAAAGGAATTGCCACAGGTCGAAGAATCTGATCCCTGTAGCCCACACCAGTTAAGTTGCCCTGAACAATCACCAAAAGTGTTCTTTGGCGTGCTGTTATTCCAACCCAAATCATCACGGATTCACCACCAAAGTGATTCCTCTCCAAGACACAGGCCTGTGCATAACGTTTTCCCACGCGTCTAAAGGCACGTTGACCTCCATCACTATTGGGAAATGTTAAACCTGGACTCATCTGTAAAAACAACATTTCTCCACCAAAACAAGGGTCTGCGGACATGATTTCGGCACCACATTCGGCGAGATTGTCGAAGACGTTGTGTCAGGATAGGTCGTATGGCGGGACGTCGTGGTCTGATCCAGTGATAACGTAAACGTTGTTGAACTGTGTTGGGGTCGATACGACGAAGTCCTGGGATGGTTCGGGCAGTCATCACTGCAGTCTGAAACCTGTGGCGAAGATGGGTCACCCTTATCCATCTGTCCCGTCTTAGCGTTGTTACACGTGGACGTCGAGAACGTGGCCGATCGATGACGTCATTTGTGCTCTGATAGCATCTCACCAGTGCAGAAATGGTGTTCCGATGGCAGTGGAAATGTGCAGCCACTTGTCGTTGAGACATTCCCCCACGGACCATCCCAATGGCCTTATGACGTTGTGCAAACGTGAGCCTTGGCGTGCTATGCGTTTCAATAGCCGTTAATTTTTTGAACGATCGCAAGGGCAGGGGTTGAGCTTTCCAAAGTGACAGTATTGTGTGGCATTCATTTGCTCTGTTTCTTTTTCCCGGAATGCACGTGCAACAACGTATTGCACGTCTCAAGGACGAACCCACTGACGTCACGGAACGTGACACGTGCATGCATGTTGGATACATGTCACTAATCTCTGAGTTTAAATCCTTATGTGTCTACACAGGTTTGATAAATTTAGATTCTTTTTTTTTTGTATGCACAGTTTCTTTATGTGCCTAGTATATATGCACACACGCGTAAATCATAATCAAGTCCAAATAGTATGTGATCATGTGATCTATTGGTGGTTTTTCATTAAACAAACAGCTAAATAGACCATTAGAGTCAGGCATTATGTCACACAGTGTTACACATCCATGAATAAGATATTCGGCGATCAGGGTGTTTCTCCAGTCCAAGGCACCCATGAAGGGCACCTCCTCGTGGTGGGTGCTGGGTAACGCTAAGCGCCCTTCAACCCCTCGTTGTGGACCCGGGGGAATATTTGGTCCACCAACCCGTTTGCCGTGGGTTGCGCCCCTGTGTCGGTGGAGGAAGGTAGTCTGGTGGTTGAGGGCACTGGTTCCAGGAACAGTGTTCATTTGCCAAACACACCACTTCGGCCCTGACTTCACCTAGACGGGTGGTTGAACTGGCCCGGTTCTATCAATCGGCTGGTCACGCCAAGCCCTGTGTATAGACTGTATATATATATATATATATCATTGATTTGATTTGGAATTGTTTTAATTTCGGGCTTACTTGTTTATCTAAAACGTTTGTGGTTTTGAATTATTATGTTATGAACTTTGCCTAGAGTCTTATGCCCAGAAGGCGGTGGCTCATGGGCCAATCTGGTAGAACTATTAATCGTTTAATTCTTCTGCTGGAGTATATCATCCGGGTATCCTTGGTGCTGCAAGTTGGAAATCCACTTGTTTTTAGTATTGTCCTTGCGATACTCCGTGGTGGGTGGGGAGCTCGGATGACGAACCTTGAAAAATTAACCATGGCTTACGAAACCCCCATAAAAAAAACAAAACGTCCACTAGACACTGATCCAGTTGATACTGATCAATGACTGTCCACGTCCATTGGATACTGGCCACGATTTCTTGTTATTGAAACTGTTGATAAGACTCCATTGAAGTTGAACCCCTTTGCGATATCTAAGGGTATACAGGGGATTGCTGGTGATGTCAAGAATATTATACGTTTACGTTCCGGTGCTCTGTTGGTTGAGTGTGGGAAAAGGCACCAAGCCACCAACCTTATGAGTACAGAATCGTTTGTTAACGTTCTGGTCACCGTCACGGATCATAAAACTTTAAACACGAGCAAGGGAATCATCAGAGACCGTGATCGATTGTTTGCAGATATGTCTGAACTTGACATCGTCTCTGAGATGAAAGAACAAGGTGTACTCTATGTCACACGTTTCACGACCAGGAAAAATGATACTGTTATCAAAACAAATACCTACCTGTTTTCATTTTCTTCACCAAATGCTCCAAAATCTCTAAAGGCAGGATATTGTAACATCAATGTTGACACGTACATTCCGAACCCTCTAAGGTGCTTCAAATGTCAAAAGTTCGGTCATGGCGTAAATACTTGCACATTGTCTGTTGTATGTGCTCACTGTGGTGAAAAGACACATACAACAGAAGATTGTGACAGTAATGTAAAAAAATGTACCAACTGTGAAGGGGATCATCCATCTTACTCTAAAAACTGTCCTGTTTGGAAACGTCAAATGGAGATAAATAGAATCAAATTTACCCAAAACATTAGTTTTGCCGATGCGAAAAAGCTAGTTCAAAGCTCAGAGCATAAGGAGAGTTATGCTTCTATCACCAGAACACCGTCAGAAGCAGCCACTCAAAAACAAAGTCAACTGCATGCGGTCAGACAAACCTGACCTGGGTTAAATCCGAATCTCCTGTGATATTCTCACCTGCAATATCGACCCAAACAACGGAATCAGTTCCTAGTACGTCTCAAAGCCAATGCAAAACATCCTCTGATCTTTACGCATCACCTCAGTCGACATCAAAGTCTACACAACCCCTTAACGGCAAAGGTAAGAAGCCAGATTCTTTCAAAACATTCAGTGGCAGAGCCCCAAAAGGGTCAGAAAATCAATCAACTTGTATTACAAATATGGTTTTCTTGAGGACATGGATTTGTCCGAAACTGTCCGTTCTAGGGCGCACAGCTTGTCGCCCAACAAGAAAGTACGGGGAAGATCCCCAATAAATCCCCCCAAAAGATAGTTTATCACAATCATATTATACAGTGGAATTGTAGAGGACTGAGGACTAATTTCAGTGAATTACAACTTATAGTCCAGGATTTAACTCCATCAGCGTTCTGTCTGCAGGAGAACTATTTAAAACAAACAGATGTTTTTGCCCTGCGTTCTTTCAATGCATATCATTATTTTTCACCTCTGGGTGATAGGGCCACTGGAGGATCTTCAGTCCTAGTCAGACAGAACGTTATCCATAGCCCTGCTGCTCTTACTACTAATCTTCAGGCTGTTGCAGTGCGACTAACTTTGCACGTTGCGTTTACATTATGCTCTCTCTACATATCTACGTCTTCAACGTTTCACAAAACTGATCTTCAAGCTCTGTATGACCAACTCCCGAAGCCCTGTATTATTATGGGAGATTTAAATGGGCACAACCCACTCTGGGGTAGTGCAAATACCAACGCTAAAGGTAAATTACTGGAGGAGTTTTGTTCCGATAATGATTTATGTCTTTATAGTGATGGTTCCAACACACGGGACCCTGTATACAGGTGCTAGGTAAGATGGCTTCGTGTGTGTCGTGGGACCCTGTAGACAGGTGCTAAGTAAGATGGCTGCGTGTGTGTCGTGGGACCCTGTATACAGGTGCTAGGTAAGATGGCTGCGTGTGTGTCGTGGGACCCTGTATACAGGTGCTAGGTAAGATGGCTGCGTGTGTGTCGTGGGACCCTGTAGACAGGTGCTAGGTAACATGGCTTCGTGTGTGTCGTGGGACCATGTATACAGGTGCTAGGTAAGATGGCTGTTTGTGTGTCGTGGGACCCTGTATACAGGTGCTAGGTAAAATGGCTGCGTGTGTGTCGTGGGACCCTGCAGACAAGTGCTAGGTAAGATGGCTGCGTGTGTGTTGTGGGACCCTGTAGAGAGGCGCTAGGTAAAATGGCTGTTTGTGTGTGTCATTGGACCCTGTATACAGGTGCTAGGTAAGAAAGCTGTTTGTGTTTGTCATTGGACCCTGTAGACAGGCGCTAGGTAAGATGGCTGCCCCACACATGTATTAACGACTAATACTAAAGCCTGACTTATCAAAATGATCTTTTTGTCGTTCTTACTGTCAGGACTGGAATATACCAAGAGGTCTGATTATCTGTGACCTGTTTTACTTATTCCTTATGCAATTTATTGTACCTGTCATTATTTACTGTAAGCCTAAAACTGTGTGTTTGAACGTAACAAACAAACACTGAGCATTGTGCAGGGGAATGCATCTCCAACTATAATGAAAGAAGTTGTCATCCAGTTAATTAAGAAGGTTCAGGATGTTTCCAGAGCACAGAGCACAGTGTGACCACATCTAAACAATCAGAGGGTTCCGGGGCCTGCAAGTATTCAGACAAATTTCGTTGTTTCCTGTTGATTCCTATACAGGTTTCTGTGTTTCTTCAGTGACGGTCCCCATGAGTCGTTAGGCCTGCAACTCGCTGCCAGTCTCTGGAAGACATTGATTGATATTATTCATAATTCTCTGGTGGAATAAAAACGTCACTTTAATACCCAGTAATGTGACCAGTTTCCCGTCTCTGCCGATTGGCTGGTCACCATTTCGTAAAACCCATAACCGTAACAGACACAAGTAAACCAAAGAATCCTGCCCCGGAAATCCAGGGTGAAAATACATGTAATGTAAGATGCTAGAGGCAGTCACTTAATACGTTACATACTCCTAAAACCCTTTCAGACATCCCCATGCTTTGCTGGTTTAGCCCTGACCACAAAGCATTAACATATAGCAAATCCTACATCATTACTCATCAGGTAATGATACAATATTGACAACTATGGACGAAGCACATCAACAACAAACACTGAGAGAGTAAGACATTGTTTACCACTGTCATATCAAATAAACTCACCAATAAATGACTATGAGTAATTATTGCATTATGTATCAATATATCTTGGGCACTGTATGATTTGTAAGAAGTATGTATTAAAGCTGTTTCAGTCAGAGGATCTCTTAAGTGTGCACTATACGTTTCGTTGTGCATCGCATGAATTAAATGTTCAGTTGCTACGTTTTAAACGTTTGAAAGATCATAACCAACTGCTATGCTCGAAGTGTAATGCAGGATCTGTTGAAGATGAATTGCATTGCCTTCCGTTATGTCCTCACTATAAGACAATCCATCCCATGATAAATTGTATCATTAATGTCAGCAACATATTCTGTACTTATAAAAAGAAATCACTGTTCCTCGAAAGAAATGTATCATGTTAAGTAGTGTTGCAATGTATATCAATATATCTTGCGCACTCTATGATTTTTGTATCTTAACACTATGGGCCCTGAGGCCTCAAATGCAAAAAAACAAACTTGTCACTTGTCACAATTGTCACTGTTGGTAATTATCACCTGTCTAATTGATTTTCGACGATGTAGTGAAAACAATAGGTTTTCAACGCCTGTTTGTCTCTCAATGTAACAGTGAGAGAGTGAGTTTAGTTTTACGCCGCACTCAGCAATATTCCAGCTGTATAGCGGCGGTCTGTAAATAATCGAGTCTGGACCAGACAATCCAGTGATTAACAGCATGAGCATCGACCTGCGCAACTGGGAACCGATGACATGTGTCAACCAAGTCAGCGAGCCTGACCACCCGATCCCGTTAGTCGCCTCTTACGACCAGCATGGGTTACTGAAGATCAATATTCTAACCCGGACCTTCACGGGTACTCAATGTAACAGGGTCGGTGGGGTAGTGGTTATTAGTGGTTAAAGCAGAAGTTGTTAGTAGTCGTTACGCAGAAGGTGTTACTAGTGGTTAAAACAGAAGTGGTTAGTAGTCGTTACGCAGAAGTCCCGGGGTTAGATTTCCAATGGGTACAATGTGTGAAGTCCATTTCCGATGGTGTCCCCTACCGTTATATTGCTGGAAAGGTGTAAAAGCGGCGTAAAACTAACTCACTCATTGACTAATTCAATCACTCACTCAAAATATAAAACCCGAGAGTGAATCTAGTAACCTGAACAACAGATTCGTAAGAGCTAATTTCAGGTAATTGTTTGCCTATACATAACAGATTGCCCATGCACAACGATGTCACTTACATCCATGAATGATCCTTTGGCCTTGAGCAAGGTGACAGCCGCCATGACAGGTACAGGGATGACGGACATGGAGGCCAAGATCCACCCTGCTACCTGACACACCCAGGGTACTGATAGTCACCATAGGTCGGGGGTTGGAACCGCCACAGAACCAGGAACAAGGCGATCTGCAATGTTCTCAGAACGGTTATGACGGTCATAATAATTAATGCATTAACAAACACGTTAACAGAATTGTTAGTCTTTGAAAGTTCCTAAAGAATTTTTGAAGCAAGAAGAATAGAATT